TATTTTGTTGTTCGAGCTGCTATTGTTGCAGGTTTTCTTGCAACTGCTGTTGTCTCTTTTTTTGTTTCTTTTGCTGTTCTTGTATTGCTGCCATCAAATCTGCTAAAGTGTAGTTTGATTTGCCGCTTCTCGTTTCCATCTTCTCTTTTTCTTCTTCTTTTTTTTATCCCACTTTTTGACACCAATTTGTTACGTCTTCGTTTGTTAACTAACTTTCCGTAACTTCGTTCCGACGAAACTTTAGCGACACAAGTCCTTACTTAATAAAACTGGTTTATTCTTTCCGAATATAACTTTAGATACACTTAATTTTAACAATCGCGCTAAAACAAACGTTATAACAACGAACGTGCTCAATAATACTCTCTGACTGCAGATCAATTACTCACTGTCTACACATACCTTGATCGTCACGCCGTGACCATCTTATATATACCAGACCACCCCCAATCTAGTAAATGCTAGAGCACTCCCGAAGGAACGGGATAGTTCTAGAAAGCAGGTGGCATGAGAATAGTCACGTGATCTCGCTGACGCAACAAGGTCAAAAACAAAGAAGGTGAATTATTAGAGAAAAAAATTTGTTAGATGATAGATCTATCATCTATGCATTAGTTTAATACATTTTTAAATTTTTAAGAAATATAAATTTTTGTGTTTTCGCTCCAAATATAACAGGACCCCATAAATTATTGGGAGAAAAATATTTTCTAATGCAATTTCGTGCTTGCCAATTATTAGCATAACATTTCAATTTTCATAGCTGTATAAGGTATATCTATATAATTAATGTTTTTTCTACAGATTCTTATCTAAATAATTACGTTAATCTATTATTATTATACCTAAGGTTAGATCATCTATATACATAGCTCTAGGCCCCTAGGATCTTATCTAAATTATTATTATTAGATCTAACTTAGTTATATCATCTACTATAGGCCAAGCGTCCTAGGCCTACGTGTGAGTGCAAATCTGTGCTGAATTATTAGCCAGCGTGTGAACGAGTGTTTTTTTATACAGATTCTTATGATCTTATCTAAATTATTATTATTAGATCTAACTTAGTTATACCTGCTGGCAAATGATTCATCAGAGATCTGGTAGACCTAGTCCGCCTAGCCTGCTAGTAAAGTTGCGTTGTAAACACGCGTACTTGTAAGTTGTAACGTTATTATTAGGCTTATACATACGATTATTAACAACTGGTTCGTGGAGGTCATTAAATTCTAAGAACAGGTTCGCACGAACCGGTTCGAACCGGCTGAATCCCACCACTGGTCAGGCCCCTGAAAAATAAGAAAACCTACCCAGTAACAGTCTCACTGAAGAGTGAAGGATAGTAACAGGTGGAAGACTGTACCCCAACAACGAAGAAACAGCTACCCAAAGCAGAGAACAAGAGATGACTGTATGAGGTGTAGTCCCAGTGCTCGACAGAAAAAGTACCTCCAATGGATGACCGAGTGGAGGTGCAGGTAAAAGGGAAGGTGCCTGATCAGAGCGAAGACACTGGCATTTGATTACAGGAAGAAGGAGACAAGGAATAAAAGACCAATCGAATCACAAGATGAACCTAATAGAATGAGAGGAAGGGAAAAAGAAATCACAAACAGAGGAGTGGTGCAAGAGAATGAAACTGCGGGAAACAGAGTCAACAGAAAGAAGCCTTGAAAGCAATGAAGTAACCCAGAGCATGTACAGGACAGAAAAGATCATCCAAATCTTACCGAGAATAATGGTGGGAGATCGCAAGAAATGAAAATAAGGAAAATATTCCACATGAGCTCTCAAAGTGTAAGTTAGTAAAATCAATCCAAAACAAAAAGAACACAGAGCTATAACAGCTGAGAAAACCAGATATGTGCCAGACAGGAAGGATAAATCAGACAGACCTGACCTGGAGCGACATGGATGATCAAAATCATCTTAGAAAGAAGACTGACAAAAACTAAAGTTATAAACTGGATCTAATCCTATTTGAATGTATCAACAGTGAGGGCTAGTGGATGATAAGCTGGAGACCCAAAACAAAAGAGGTAACTTGAAATAAAGAAAGATTCAAATGCTTTCCATGGAGGAGTACCCCACAGGAGGCAGAGCCACCAAATATTTGAGGATCGAGAGGCTACTCTTTAGGAGAAAGTGTGTCTGAACTGGATGCACCTTGAACACGACATGCTAAGAGACATATGTCAAGTGTGTGGGTTCAAAAAGGGAGAGCCACTGTCTACAAGAATGGGTGCCCCCTTGGTGAGTGAAGTAAGTCACCTCTGTCAAAAAGTCCAAATGAAACATGATTAGTCAAATCTGGACAATCTGAAGAAAGTGAATTAAAGTAAGTTGGACTGCCAGAAGTGCCAGGGTGTTAACATGGTAAGACTTTTCATCTATATGCATTGTCCTAAAGCCTCCTGCTGATCAACCCATGCTCCTCAACTTTAGAGATGAGCATCAGGGAAGAGAAACAAATCTGGACAAGATGGAGGAAGTGGTAAACCTGATGACGTGGGGAATAT